AAGCAGTTCTGTGTCATCAAACAGGAGACAGACAGCAGTAAGCCCTGGCATGTTTGTCTCACATGGTCTACTCTGGGCTCACTCAGGCAGATAAGTACATGTGGTCAGGGCTCCTAAAATACATTCCCCAGAAAAAAGGAGTGACTGGCAGTCTGATACATGGTGTAAATGTTTAGCAGAACAATGGCTTACCTACTGTGTCCTGTAAATAGTTTAACAAGGGCAAAAGTTCCAGGAAAAGTAGTCAGCATTATGGTGGGGATAGACATAGCATATAATGGGATCTACAAATAATGTTTTACTGGCTGCTGACATATTAATCTATTTGGCAAAGCAAAATGTCTCAGAAACAAGACAGGAGCTACATCAGTGAATCAATTCAGACATGATCTGGGTTCCAATAAACATCTGCCCAACAGCTAAATTCATTAACTACACTTTGGAAATATTCCAGCGGTAATTTAGGCAAAACACCATTTTTAACTGTCATACAGAAGCCCGGTGAAGATCAGCGAGGTCGCTTCCTGATTGAAGGTAGGATTTGTCACGGGTCATGGGTCAAAAGCCAAGAAGTCACAAAAACAGGGAGCAGCTTGCCTGCTTGCTTTGACCTGTCTGAGACATGGAGCTTATCCAGAGGAGGTTTTCTGAGCTGGAGGCGATTTAGAAACTGATCATGTCACAAGAAACACCTCACCTCTATTCTGGCTCGTGACCGTGTTACTAAGATATTTTTTGCCTGAACGAAAACCCGGCTAAAAGTCTAAAGTGGTCAAATGTTGAGAAGGTTTTCCTCATGCACCATCTTAGTTCTGTGCACATTCATCGAAGTCAGCAAAAAAAAAAAAAACTTTATCTAAGAAATGGTGAGACATTTTGCTGGATAACAGAAAATTCAGAGCAACTGCAGGTCAGAAAAAAAAAGTCATTAAGGCACAAAAGTCAGAAGAATTAATGCTGAAGGAAGCCTCTATATCAAATTTTATGGCAGCCTATAAATGTCAAGTCAGTTCACTGTAAACCACCTGGTGGTGGTGGTGGAGGAAAAACTCAGAGGGTTGGCAGTCCATCCCGGTGAAGCTGAGATATTTCAGCCCAAGCAACAGACCGATATTCCTCTGAGACAAGGCACTTGCATGCTGGTGGAATTCGTCCAACCAAGTTCACTTTTGATCAGATTAGTCGACCTTCGCTTCAAACGATCTTCCTTGAAACAGACAAACCGGAAACAGCTCTGTCAAAAAAAATCCTGTCTCTTTGAACCTCGTCATTTTACCGTAAACATCAACTGTGCCATTATCTAACGCATCTCCACGGAGCTGTACAGACGGCAGCAGGACAGCCACCTGCACACGTCTTGAAAGAAACCGCAGCACCTTTTCAGTTCGTTCTAGCCCACATATTTCACTGAATACATCATTTATCCTGCGGATTTCAAAAGAGTCTATAAAGCAATCAAAGTTGCATGGGGAATAGTCGTGCAATTTTACTGCTCCGGCGCTGTCTTGGATAATGCATGAGCTTGGATTTGTTTGGTGGAGGGGAGCAATAAAACCTTCTGGTAGGTAAATAAAACACGCCTGAATAAAATCACAAGGTTTCAAAACTCAATCATAAATTACGTGGATTTTCGCAGAATTTATCGTTAAGATATCGTATTTATATCCTGAGTCTTTTTTATTTTTGTTCATTTGGACTTTTTCTACCATTTATGGAGAAGTGCCTCGAAAATCCATTGGCGACAACTTCTCTCATTGGATGTTCTGCAGGTTAGAAAGCTCCCAACTTAAACCTTATTAATAAATCACAAATAAACATGATTTTTCCCCTAATTCAGTCAGAATTATTGAATTGTTTGAGCGCTAAAACCAACATATAGCTTCAAATGCTATGGCGGCAGATGAACATTATTTACAGTCGTGGTGGTTGCAACAGACGCCATTAAAAGAAAAAATGTGTGTGACAGGTGTGCGGTATATGTGGGTGAGGTGGCGTTGCATTGAGCGAGGGCAGGGTGTTGTGCGGTTGGTAGTCACAGTCACAGATCTAGCCACACTCTTTTTTAGCACGCCGTAATGCAATAATGCTGCTTTCCCCTGCTCCCAAATAAACTGAGCATTACCACGTATTAAAGTCAGACATCCCTAAAGGCCCTGCATGTGTCCATCCTCTTGTAAGCGTGGACTATATTTAGCCGTGTAGGATCATTGCAGAGCTCAGCCTGTCTAAAAACAGAGACAGAAAAGCCCACACCCATTGTCTGACACAGCGCCCACCGAGAGCCAAAGACTCAACACGTGAGGAGAGGAGCACTTTGTGTTACCCTCTTCTCCAAAACCAGTCAAAACCCTCTTCATGCAAGAGTTCCAGGCCTCCACCTGCGCTTCTCAAATCTGAGTTTTACATCCTTCTGATCCCTAATCCAGAGACAGCATTCCTCTCTTTCCTCACAGTGGATAATTGAGCGTGAGGTGCAGTTTTATGGGCCGTTAGCCAAACTCCTGCCAGAGACACGGGTCATGATGGAAGCATATTCTCTAGCCAAAGGGGCGTGAATTTGATTCCTGGCAAGAGTCCAACTGCAGCACATTATTCACATGATTACTGCTAGCTGAGGTGATGAAGCTCAAACTGAAAACATAATCGTGTAACACCTGTGGAAGACTTGTGAATGAAACACCATAAGTTGAACAACTTTCTTCCAAGTCATTTCAAAACATGTCAGCAGCAGAAAGAAAAACACAGCAGTGACAATGAGAGTGGTGCCAAAATACCACAAACTTCCAGTTTCACATCAGCGAAGTTGCTGTGCCACCACATACACTAACACACAAATGGTAAGAGTCATTTCACAGCAGCTGAGCAGCAGCCAAGGAAAAAGTAAACTTTCCTTTCCCTCCCTCGGTAACATGCAGGTGCAATATTTTAGTGTCAACACAGAGCTGTCATTATTCACACAACAACTGGTAAACATCTGTTCGTGCACACAGTAAGGTATAATCTCACCTGTCCAAGGTCCAGGGTAACATTCACCATGTTGTAGCCCATTCCCCTGGAGAGAGGAGGGCTCTGCCACCAGCGCTCCGTCCCATCGATGGCGTTGGTCACCGGGTGGGCTTTGTTTGGCTCAATGGAGTTGCAGTGGTCACAAAACTGACCCTAAATGGTGTCAAATGTTTGGTGTTTAGAAACATACCCATGACCAAATAACTGCAGCAAACAACAAGCATGTTTTATGATGGTGGTAACACTGAGAAATACCCTGCAACCAATGATGTGGAGCAGAATTCTTGCCTTTAAAAAAAAAAAAAGATTGGGTATGTACTGTGCTTTGTACAGTAAAGCAGGGCCCTTCAGGGGAACTCCTGAGGGGGTAAGAGTACTCTTGAAAGAACATTTCCTTTAGAAAACGTGGGACACAAGTACAATGGTGCAAAACTATTTCTGGCAGTTGTACAACTTGGTCAGAATTGTCAGGGTTCCCCAGGGGGCTCTAAACGCTCCAGTAGCAACATGTACAAACAGGAGCATAACACAGAACCATTCTTCATTAAAAATTAACTATTCAGTGAACTTTCTGTCAATAGTTAGTTGCTAAATATATTGCTTTTCACTTTATGTACCCCGCTAGAGTGCAATTCCCTTTCACGGTGCTTCTGTGGGGTTGCTATTCATTTTTACGCACGCATAAAAAGTTATGAGGTTGCACCAAAAGTTCACTTTCTTACCTGAATGTTTTGAGTAGGAAGTCCAGTAGTAGGACCCCCGACAAGCTTACAGTATAAATCATATCTCGGTGAGCCAGTGTCATCCTGGCCGCAGGTTGCAGAGGCAGAAATACTAGCGCTCTCAGCGAGGTTGAAGTACGGTGGACTCAAACTGAAACCTGTTAAGCCATTAAAAGTCCCTTGTCCATCTGCGTCCCTGAACAGTGTTATTATCCAAAAGGCACGAAAAACACCGATGAGATGAGCTCCCCTCATCCCTCTCGCCATGTTCCACATCGGAGATCCTTGTAGATGCTGAGAACAACCCGCAGCGTGCAGGTCTTGTCATCTATAAATCTCCATGAAACGCGCTAATGGGCAGCAAGTTTTACGCGCGGGTGCTCCTTCAGAAGGACAACGCGTCTGCAAAAGTCAACGCTTTAAGTTGGAGTTCTGCCGTTGAAGGAGCGCTCTCTTTCTGCCGCATGTCCTCCCCCAAACTGTAACCGCAACGAGCTCTTCGTGTTCACAACCAAACTGTGCGCCACAGTGGAGCTATCAGGTGTCAAGCTGTCGATGGTCTCAGCTCGACGCTTATCCACCGAGTGGGGCCAAAGGTCTGCTGTCACTGTTTTTACAGAAGCTGCTCATTTTTCTTCTCTCTCTTACTCTCTTTGTTTCTACTATTAATAACAATAATCAAACAAATATATGCACATAAATGTATATAAGGCGTGCCATTTTGCGCTTACTTCTTAGGTGCTGTGTGTGGTTGTATCCTAATCTTTCTAATTCTACAGTCATCCTAATGAACCGCTGTGATAATGTGCCATTTAAAAATAGACTGTGAGAAGCACTGTGATGTTTCTGAGGCAACATAAAAACAAGCCATGTGAAAAAAACAAATGCATATTGTTAAAGTATTCATTTATAATAATATGGGAACTGGAAAAGCGGCATCTGTGCATTCTTTATACATTTTAGATAACTAATAATACACAAACTTCACTTGATCCAGTTTTATATATGTAGTGTGAGAGTTTAAATTCATCTTTTTGCAGGTTCAGATGAGCCCCAAACCTGTGAAACACCCCACCACTGTATTAAACAGCAATCTACTTTTTTACTGTGGTATTGTGGCGCCCTCTAGTGGCGCAAACACTCATCACAAGCTCGTCAGGGGATTTTTGTGTCGCGCACACGCAAACGCACGCAGCTAAAGTTCCAGGTTTGAGTTTCAGTGTTGGTAACCAGAGCTTCCATACCGAGTTACAGGAAAAACCCGTTCTGCTTAATTTTTATGCGTCCTGCTGGTTCGGCCTTTTGTTTGGGTGGAACCAGCTGTTTCTGTGGAGCCAGCTGTTTCTATTTGGGAACTTTTACGCAGTGATTCAGCGACCTGCTTGTGTTGTCTTTGGTAACTCGCACAACAACAGTTTAGCGCCGTGACTCATTGGCAGGAGGGTTTTCCGCATATTCCAGCATCGTTGCCATTCCTCGGACTGGACGGGCTGCTTTCTTGAACGCATATGTCAGAGCTGAGGGAGGGAGGAAGACGCAGACAGGAACTGGTCGCACAGAGGCTACACGGCTGGATAAACGAAACCGGCGGGGATCAGGGGTTGAATCTGTTGTGTGTTTGTAAATCTCACAGGACTCTGCATGGAGCCCACAAATCTACAGGTAGGCTGAATAACTTTACTATAGATTGTAAAGTAGAGTTCTCAGACAGGAAGAGTTGTACCAAGTGTGTTTGTTGTCAGACAGGTTTCACTTTGACGCTTGTTGATAACTGTGATTCTGACAGTTTCTTTAAGTATCGTGGTGCTCAGTTAGTTTCTTATTAACCTATAACACAATATGCAGTTAGTATCTGGGATGCAGGACCCTCTGTGTCAGTGTGTCTGCATAAACAGAACTGTCTGAACTCCATCATCGCTGACAAAAATAGTGATTCACATGAAGGCCACAGATCCACTGGCAGGCTGTGAAATTATTCATTCACAGCTAGTCAGATGTCTTAAGGAGGAGGTATGGCCAATCAGTGATGTGGCTGCTGCTGTCATGCCCTACATAGTAAATCTGATAAGCAGCAGTTATCCATCTTGTTCTGACCTGTGGCTGTGACTTGGAGACTCTGAGGGTCCTCGATCAGATGGACTTCACGTTGTAATACTAATAACTGTTTGACAACAACATAGTTCCACACAGTCATGAGGTTCAGTCTGCTCAGGCAGAAGTTAAGTAAGCGCACGCCCTATTAATTACACATAATTACTATCTCCAAAGGAAGTTATACAGTTGTACACAGCAACAGTTTTTACTAAAAATCTAAGCTGTTCATTGACAGTGTTGAACTGACACAACTTTACTGACAAATGAACCTTAAAACAATGCACGAACTCAAGTGATTTTTATCTCTACCAAATGTCAATAATGTTGCGTACATACCTACGTTTTGAAAGAAATTTCAGACAGAGCTTAATGAGGTCATACCACTAAGCACTACATGAGTCTATTTACCATTTACTCTGAAATGACAAGTTCAAGCAAGAGGCTGTTATTTCCACCAAATAACTTTATGTATGTGTATATACAGTATGTACTACATACAGACAATTAATTTTTAAATGTTTAATATTAATCCCAGCTTACTGGAAGTCACTGACAATTCAAAATTGTCTAATAGGTCAAATGAGAGGCCAGAAATCTGACTTATTGAATTTCTTATAACAAGAATTCAGTTAACTCATTCATTTTTAATAGCTGTGAAGGAGATATTTTGACATCTAAATCATAAATTCTTCATTTTATTTTGTCTACATCAACTTCTGAACTGATCAGATTATCATTTCAGCACAAGCTCAAAGTCACAATGATGTTTTTAAAGTATTGTTTATTTCTTATCTATTGATTAAGACTTCACATTGGAAAACAACAACACTGTACTGGTTTTGTTTTTGTAGTGCAAATATATTATACTTCCTGGGACAGTAACATGTTATAAAGGGATTTTAGGTTTCATACAAAAACTGCTGAAGTGATTTCAGTAGAAGCACAAGGCATGCCTGTATCTGAACTATTAATTCATTTTTTGCCCTTTCAGAAAGCTATTGCTGTAGCACAGAAGGCCTCACAGGAGGACCAGGCTGGGAACTATGAAGAAGCCATCCGCTCCTACCAACATGCTGTCAAGTACTTTCTGCACATTTTGAAACGTGCGTCACCACAGTTGGAATCATAATGTATTGACCGGGATATTAGGATATACGTCATCTTTAAAGTCTTTTACATGGTTTTCTGTAAATGTCACTTGTTTTTTGATTGCCCAATTAGTATCTAAAAGTGAGACAAATGTGTGCATACTTTCTCTTCATTAATAATTGTTTTTTGTATTTTTTTTAAGCATCTAGAAGATCTTTCCCAGGTCTTCCCGTTTGGAGTCTAAAAGTGTGCTTGTGTGACCGATTTCTGACCTGTGGTTATACTTTTTGTCTTGCATCTTGGACGAATGCACATTTGCAGCCTCTTGGATTAGTATCTACAGATGAACTCGTATCATAACTTGTTATATCATATAAAATGTTTGTCCTAAGAAGCACTGACATGACAGAATCAGGCCTTTTGGTTGCAGACATCTTGACTTGAGAAGCGCATTTGCTGCTCATTACTCTCCTCTGTTTAGGTGTCCCAGTAAACTGCGACAATATGAGAGCACAATACCAGGACCCTGATATTAAAGCAGCTAAATGGAATCTATAAGAAATTTCAATGTTTACTATTTACATCTATGTATTTCTTGGTATGGTATGTGATGACCAAATGTCTGTTTTGCCTGCAGCATTAAAACAATTGTTGTTTTTTTTCCATTAGGGGAGCCGCAGGGGAAAGATGGCAACCAGAAGATTCGAGATAAATGTAAACAGTACCTGGACAGAGTGGAAGAACTACAGGAGTACCTAGTGAATAAAGAGGTCATTACAGAAATGGCATTATATAATATTTGTTTTATACAATCAGAATAGTGTTACATCAGTGTGAGAGAGCAGACTTGGAAGAACTTAAAATCGAGACTTAATACATGTGGACAATATGTTAAAGGGTTTTGTACTATAATGACTGAGTTAATAGTTTATTCAGAGTTCATACATTGATTGTACACAAAGAGGTACGGGGTGAACCACAAACCACAGATCCACAAAAACAAGCCACATCAGCCGCAAATGAAAAAGAAAAGTGACATCAAACAAAAGAGGTGGCAAATATGGTGCCACCTCTTTATTTTATAGTTTTAAAACACAATCAATCCAAAGCAACAGTAAAACAGTCTTTCCATAGACTGTATAGACTCACCAGCAGTGACTAATGAGGCTACGTCTTGACGTCATCGCATTCCGTGCACGCGAGTATCGACTTTTCAATGCGGAAGTTTCCTCCTCGATCTGCCTCGGGAGCGATCCAAGAAACGAAAACAAGTCTGACAAAACCCTCGATTTTCAAGTTAACAGCCTTCGCGTACGGCGGAATCCCAAAGCAGAGTGTTTAAAAGTTGTTTATTCGCGGCGGTGTTGCATTCGTTTTGATTATTGGACGAGCGATCGGCCGTAATGGCTACCAACAATAATTTACAGGTAAGTTGTGGACCAACCCAGTAGCCTGCTAAAGCGCTTAAATTAGCTTAAAAAGTTGTTTGCACCTCGAACTAAACTGATAAAAGTGTCCTAGTTGCTGACAACCGAAATGTCCGGCCTAGTTTTCATGGGTTGTGCTCGGTGTAATTGCTTCCAACCATGTAAAATAGCTTTACGTTTGTAACATTAGCCGCTAATTAGCATGTTAGCTCAGATGGCTAACATGGCACGACTTTGGCAGGCAACTTGTAAACACGCAAAAGACCTTTAAAAAGCTGTCGTTGTGGCATGTATGTATTTTACAGTTTGCTATTTTCCATCGCAGTTGTGACAGTAGCCCTATAACGTGGCACAGCACGGCGAGCTTCTAGTGACTAACGTGTTACCTAATGGGATTAACGCTGCTAGCTGCCACTTTCATTCGGTCTCCAAATAGACATATAGTTTAAATACGTATTTTTAAAAAAGTGTTACATGCTCGTGTTTGCGGTAATGGTATGACTTGTGTTATAGCTGCACTCTATAGTTAAGATAACAAAAGGGAAGTGAAACAAAGTGTTTATAAAGTCGGGTTAAGGCACACCTATCCTGCTGTGTGTGTGTAGTGTCACCACATAACAGGTGTAGCATTAAACCTGATCACTACACATAGTTGGTCATCACATGTCTATATGGAGGAATGTTGCCACCCACTGACACATTAAGTATTTTTTTTACTTGCATAACTTTCAATGCTTACATCTGTGATTTTATTATTTATTTGTCTTTTTGATTGGTGTTTGTTTTGATTGGCTGCCCTGTGTCATGACACACTCATGAGGCAAAGAAGTGATCACTAATTTCACATACATCTATTTTCCTAATGTCAGTAACTACAGGTGTCAGTATAACTAAATTTGTCCTTTTGTCTTTGTTTTTTTTTTTAGAAAGCCATTGATCTTGCCAGCAAGGCGGCTCAGGAGGATAAAGCTCAGAACTACGAGGAGGCTCTGCGCCTATACCAAGCTGCTGTTCAGTACTTCCTTCATGTGGTAAAATGTAAGGAAAAAGACAACACGATGGTATTAAGTGTATAGTACTGCAAGTCTGATAACAACATTCTCTTAATTAGTTCTAAACTAACCAGGTGAATATACATAATTGATCATATTGAAGGGTCTTAGTCTTAATATTTAAATGATGCAGGTAAATTCACACTTTAGTAATACTATGGGGTCTTAAACCTAAAATTTCAACTTGTTGGAATATTTTGTAACAGCAATCCTATTCTTCTACCAAGTTGGTGCAATGGCTGTTGCTAAAAAAAAAAAAAAAGTTGTATATAAGTAACAGTGACTTGACAATTTGATGTTAACATTTCTTGACAGGCTGTAGCTTATTGTGGGACTGATTGAGAGATGATTCGTGTGATTTAAAATGACATGCAAGCCATTTTGTACCCTGGCATAGCAGTGAAGGTGGCAAGACAGATGAAAATAGTTGATTAAGTAGTAGTGATTGTGCTAAGATAAGGATGTGTTTCATGTAGGAAGAAATCTTTAAGCTTGAAATCATTTTTGTGTGTGTTGTTTTTTGTGCCGATTCCAAACAGATGAAGCCCAGGGCGACAAAGCGAAACAGAGCATCAGGGCGAAATGTGCCGAGTACTTGGACAGAGCAGAGAAGCTGAAGGAGTATCTAAAGAAGAAAGAGAAAGCTCCCCCGGCCAAGCCTGTCAAAGAGTCACAGTCAGATGACAAAGGGTGTGTAAATGGGTGGGGCAGTGGGGTATATTGCCTTATGTGATGTCATGCAGATATGGTTCGAAAATCAGTTGTATCCAAATATATACAGCATAGTAATGTGTGTGTGTGTGTATATATTCTTTTTGTCCCCTTAAATAGACACATTTTACTTACATTTCTGTTTTTGTGTCCAGGAATGAAAGTGATGAGGGTGATGATCCAGAGAAAAAGAAATTCCAAAATCAACTCTCAGGTTTGTAATCCTTCTTAATTCAGTCAAATAGGCCTTCTACAAGTATTGTACTTTTTTCATCTGACTTAAGTTGTATTACATTTGATAATTTACATATTATTTAGACTTCTCAGTCATGTACTATGTTATTTTTTTCCAGGTGCAATTGTTATGGAAAAACCAAATATCAAATGGAATGATGTTGCTGGTTTAGAGGGAGCCAAGGAGGCACTCAAAGAAGCTGTTATTCTTCCAATCAAATTCCCTCACCTGTTCACAGGTACTGAATCTGAGTTGCTAAGAAGGTCACCTTGTTACTTTGCTCTTTAATGATGACAGCATGCATCTATGTTGCATGGAACAGCTGTGTCAGAGTGCAGGTGCTGGTGTTTTGGTAACACTGACATGGATTAAATTACCTCTTTGCCGACAGGAAAGAGAACTCCATGGAGGGGGATCCTGCTCTTCGGGCCTCCAGGTACAGGAAAATCCTACCTGGCTAAAGCTGTTGCCACAGAGGCAAACAACTCAGTCTTCTTCTCGATCTCCTCGTCTGACCTTGTCTCCAAATGGCTGGGAGAGAGTGAAAAGTGAGTCATTTTAGCACTAATTGACAGAAACATAGGTTAAGTATATGATCTTAAATATAATGTGGAATAATGGAATGTAATATATAAAAATACTAACCAGCAGTTGCAGCCATTTCATTCCCTAAAAGCTTCCCTTTTGCTTCCCAGGTTGGTGAAGAATCTTTTCAGCCTTGCAAGGGAGAATAAGCCATCTATCATCTTCATTGATGAGATCGACTCCCTGTGTGGCTCAAGAAGCGAGAACGAAAGCGAAGCTGCTCGACGTATTAAGACAGAGTTCCTGGTTCAGATGCAGGGTAAGTCTGATGAGCTGCAGCTGCTGTTTGTCATCACTAAATGTTGGGAGAAATGAAATGTATTCCCTCAGTGTTTCTGTGTTAAAGGGTTCTCACTCTTACTATGGAATCATACAATCTGGGGGTAAATTTGTCAGTTTTTTAAACAATTCTCTGGAGAACAAGTAAACAGCACGCGGAGTCTAAAATGGCAGCTCAAGAAGAAGATGGTTGTTTGGGTAATAAGTTAAACAGCCTCGCAGTTTCTCACTCATATCAGTGTAGTTGCATAGAATGGGATAAACAAATGTATCACCATAGAGACCCGAGCGCCACACAGGAGAAAATGGCTCGTACAGTTTGTATCTGACTGCAAGCTACTTTTTAACATCCTTAAAATATTTAGCTATCGGTTTATTCAGTACATAAATTCCAGTGGCTGGTAAAACATTCAGATTAGTGTGTTTCGATTCGTACGGGTTGTCTTCCAGGCAGTGGACAGACTTTTCCCCATTTTTACTTCACCCCTTTTACTTATTACAGAATATTTGGACAAGAAGCACCTGTGGCAAAACAGTCAAGTCAAACGTTAAAGTAGGGATCGACCGATATGGGTTTTTTTTGTTTGTTTGTTTTTAGGGCCGTTACCGTTGCAGATTACTGGTACTCCAGAAAGGCCATACATTAAAATGTTTTAACAGCATGTGATTTTAGGGAACCTGTCATTCATAACTAAGCTTCCTCATTAACACGGGGAAATAACTGAATATTTGAAATAGAAACAGCAGTGATTAAATTAAGACACTCTCTTCTGTTTATGTGGGATAGACTTGATATTTATCAGTTCGTCTCCTGCAGTTCTTCTCTGTTTTCTTAATCAAGACTAGGTCCATATCTTGAAGCATTATTAATTAATGTTTTATAGACGCTGTTTCAGGGTAATTTGTGGCTGCCTTCGAACCTGACCGCTAGCTGTTTGCATAACCTTAGCCACTGTGAGAGGAGCTAGTATCCTGGTTTTTGCAACAGCTTGTGTTTCATGTTCAGTTTTTGCAGTCACAGTAACTACAGACAGACTGAGGCGGCGGCATCAGACATAATGTAGTGCATTTAGTGTACGAAAAATCTGATAAAAATACAGATAATCAGAGAAGTGCCAAATATCAGCCACGATAATCAGCCAGGCCGATTATCGGTTTACAGTTCGCTGATTTCTGGTCACGTTCCTAAACAGATGTAAAAGTGGATATGGTCTTTGACTGGTGAGCAAATCACAAAAGCCCACAGAGAACACTGAACTCAAAAGTGAAAGGAATTTATAGTGCTTTCCTCCATCTGTTATAGTGGCATAATAGAACAAAAAAATAATGTGTGTACCTGCTCCCACTTAGAATTATGTAAATTGACACTCAGTAATTTGCAAATACAGAGAGTGGACACAAAAACACAAACATGGGTGCAATATAATGCAACCCAGTCCTGTGAATGCACCTACGTTCCTCTGTTTATCAGTTGTTGTGTGTGGTACATGTTCAGCAACTGTTTCGGACTTAATCCTTGCATGTAAATACCTGGTTTACAATAGGCATATTTGCAACAATCTGGTTTCACTTTGTAAATTTCTTTATTTCACAGTGGTTGCTCGGTAATATAATTGCAGATTTGTAGAAAGCTGCAGGTGTGGGACCCTATTGTGAAACCTTTTCATGTGTGTTTTGTCCCTTTCGTTTTATTTTCTCACAGGTGTGGGGAATGACAATGAGGGAGTGCTGGTCCTGGGGGCAACAAACATCCCATGGACTCTCGACTCTGCCATCAGAAGAAGGTAATTGTTGTTAGTCATTTAAAAGTTGGTATTCTGTTTTCATTCGCCTGCGCTCACTGGTCAAATTATACCATCTCAGATTTGAGAAGAGGATCTACATCCCGCTGCCTGAGGAGCACGCCCGCTCCTTCATGTTCAAGCTCCATCTGGGCTCCACAGACAACAGTCTCACCGAGTCGGACTTTGTCAGTCTGGGCAGGAAGACGGACGGATACTCAGGAGCAGATATCAGCATTATTGTTAGAGACGCTCTAATGCAGCCTGTTCGAAAGGTCCAGTCAGCAACTCATTTCAAACGGGTACGTCTTTGAAAATATCCGTTGGTGTTTTACTCTGCTGTGTTACATGTTTTAATTGACTTATTGTCATTTTGTTTTTTTCCTCATTTTGTTGTTTTTTTTAATAAATAAGGTACGAGGTCCATCAAGAACCGACCCCAACACTACTATAGATGACCTCTTGACTCCCTGCTCACCTGGCGATCCCAACGCAATTGAAATGACTTGGATGGAGGTCCCTGGGGAGAAGCTATTGGAACCTGTAGTATGCATGGTAAGGATATAAGAATACTAGATTTTCCAAATATTTTATTTTAGAACATATTAGAAACTTCATTTGTGTTTTTTTTTGTCTGGTCATCTTTTCAGGGAGACATGCTGAGATCTCTGTCCAACACAAAGCCAACAGTTAACGAACAGGATCTGGAGAAACTGAAAAAATTCACAGAGGACTTTGGGCAGGAAGGCTAGGTTGGGTGATTGAGCTGAGTCAAGCCAAACCAAAGCAAATGAATTGTGATTGTGTTCCTTTACTGTCCTTGTCGCTTTTTCGCTCTCTGTCTCATCCTAACCATTCAATGGGCCCCGTGAGTTATCTAAGTGGGGAAGATTATTGCTCTATCTTGCCAAACTGAGAACTACACAAAGGGTGGAAGACCTATTTTTATTTGATATCACAATTCTCCAAAGAAAAAAAAAAACTTCCCACCCACAGCTGACTTGAATAAAAACCCCTTTAAAAAGCCCAACAAACTAAAGGTGTTGATGAGCAGATTAGAGAAAGTAACAGCAGACATACACAATACTTGCAAGTAATACTTTAGAAATCAAGATCATTTAAGATAAAAAAAAAAATGCTCTTTTGTCCTGAAATACACCTTACACATTATGTATTTTTTCTTAAGAAAACAACAAGCAGTTTATAGCATATACTGTACTTTGAGGAATGTCTAATTCTTCGGCAGTGTGTTGAAGCAGAGCATGAGTCCAATTTATTGTGGTGAGATATGTCATTGACTCAAGGTGGTGGACATTTTAGAGTTTGGAGACTGAGATTCTCAGGATGAGTGCTTCATTAGGCCCTTTGGCAATTTTGGATTGTTTTGCCATTTTCCAAACAAATGACAGTTGTGTGCGTTTACTCATTTCTTATTTGAATCAAACACGGCTGTTAGGGTGGATCACCAGTGGTGCCGGACCAGCATTATTGTCCCATTTCTCTGGAACTAAATAGCTTTGAATTGCTTTGTCACTCGGCTCTTGTTTTTGTTTTGTTTGTTTGTATTTTTTTTCCCCCACAACCTACTGTATATATTTTCCATCCCTATCCACAGGCTTTGCTGATCATCCTTAATCAAAACTGCAAAAAAAAACAAAAAACAACTAAGCCTTCAATTAAGATAAAGTCACATTGCGAATTATGATAAAACAAGACTTGGGTTGTTGAAGCAGGACACTGATGGCTCAGGTAGAGAGATCATCATCTTGTGTATTTTTCAACATAGGAATGCATCTCCAAGCATGAACTATAAGTAGCCATAAGTGGCAGTGTGCACCATGTGCCTTCTAGAAAAGCTGCAACTTTTGTTTTTTTGTATTGGTTTATCTCTAAATTAGTCATACTGCTCATATATCAAGCGCAGTGTCACTACAACTAAGAAATGTATAGTACTTGTAAGTTTCATGTAAGCTCTTTCAAAGATTGTCTACATCAGTACTCGGTTGCTCTTGAGATGTGCAAAGTGTCTCTTATGAGTTTTTGATGGTTAACATTTCTCATTTTGCTGTAAATGTCTATACATACATACATATAGCCAACTCTTGAGCCTTTTCTTTGTAAAGAGGTCACCCATGCATACAATACTGTTTTTCATTTCCAGTGTAAATAAAAGTTAAAGCTAAGTAAAAAAAAAAAAAAAAAGCTGTTCACTTTTTATTTGTAACAATTAGTTAATGACAATAATTTCCGATGTGAGGTTTTCACGCTTTAAAGTCAGCTTTCGGTGTTTAGCTAAGTTACCGTCGTCTACCTGTTGACTTGGGCGGGTGCAACCGCGGGTGATTAGCATAGGTGTGTAGCTAACTGGAACGGATGCGACGAGGGAAATGGCGGCGCGTTGCATTGTGGGAGTTGTTGTTTATAAACACTCCGGCAGCGTTTAGAGCTCCAGAGAAACACTTGGGGCTCCAGAACTACAAGTACCAAGAGCGGGCGTCGGGGGTCCGCGCAGAGTGCACAGTTCGATTTGTTTTGGTTCATGCAGACTGCGCTTTGTCACGGGGAGCCAAGGTCCACCGCGACACTTTCACCTGACCGCTACACGCCTGGGACTCGCTGCCAACGCTGGGAACAACTCCTCCTCCGAGCTCCGTGTTTCGCCACCCCCCTTTCGGCACCGCCGCCCTCCCCGTAGCTCTGTTATCGGACCCCAGAAGCTGGCCTGCTAGTTAGCAAACAAGCTAACGATTGCCAGATTTCACCCATGTCCTCTGAAGAAGGGTTCAGTTCAACGATCACCGATTGGCTTTTCATCAATTCCTGGTGGCTCCTTCTGCCGTTCATCATGCTCCTCGTAGTTGCCGCCTTCATCGTTGCCTTCGTGTTGCTGTTATACATGATATCGCCTCTCATTAGTCCCAAGCCTCTGAAACTGAACGGGGCCCACGTCGTGGTAAGTGCACCACAGAGCGGCTAACGTCTGCTCGTGACTCTAGCTAGCTGCGGCTTGTAATTAAGCTAGCCGAGTTTAACGTTAGTCTTAGCTCTAACGCTACAACATTAGCAGTCACAACTTTTTTGGACAAAAAAATGCCCTTTTTCTGAGTTAAAAAAAATATATATATATATATTACGACAGTCAAGTGTCAGCTCCTAAGAGAGACACGCCCACGTTCCAGTTTGCTAATTTCAGAACTTAACGCCACTTTATGAGGTTCAACTAGATTTAACATGACACACTCAAACACAACTAATGTGCCAAAAACTAAACGCCTGCATAACAATGATTGAACTATCCCTGTGTTTCTGCTTTATTTTACCTGCTCTGTGCCCTGGACTATAACTAATCGAGTTGTTTTTATGGGTTTAAATGGCTTTAAAGGACTTATTCAGCTCACATAATGCAGATTTCCACTTTCCAACAAGTGACTGCAGCCTCTTCATTATGACTGAAATGCTGCTAATTCATCAGAATCACTTGATTTCAATCATGCTATCTGTGTTTTAAAGATTATAGCTCATAGAATAATTGCAAAAGAGATCATGTCTTTATTTTAAACAGAAAACCCACCTGTAAATCATGTTAATTGCAGCCACATAGATTACAGCTTTGCTATAATAATGCTAAATGTCATGCCTGATTATGCTGTAAACTGAGGGGTTTTTTCCTCACAATTTTCAGCTAAAATAAAAAGTTCAAAGTTTAACCAAGGCACACTTTGCTGTTACTACCAATCCAAATAACGTCAGCTGTGGCTGCAATAAACTGGACTTTAACAAGAAGCTAGCAATCATTTTTTTTGCCAGATAATCTCTCCATTGGCTCTATATCCTACCTCCATGAAGATATAGTAATGGTCGTTTTGTTTAAACATGTGTAAAGGAGGTCTAACTCAACTTAGTTAATGATTAGCTTTGTGGTTATGTCACAGAGGGTCCGCTAAATGTTAAACTCTTTTTAAATAAACACAATGCAACTCAATAGCATCGCAATCTCCAAAATGTGCCCATAGTTTAATTTTTCTAAACCAGTTTCACCAAAATGTACAATTATTAGTTTTAGCCAGAGTATCACTGAAAGTCAATTTCCTTATGCACATGAGACAATACAACAGCAGAAATTTCTTGCACATCTTTAACTCTACTAAGTTGCTTGACATTTTGGAAACCTAATTACATTTCCAGTTAACCTGTGGCCCAGCCTGTGCGTCTGATGTGAGCCAACCCTGTGTTTGACCTCTGATGAATGATCCTCTTGTCCTTTCAAAGGTGACCGGAGGCTCGAGTGGGATTGGGAAATGCATTGCGATTGAGTGCTACAGGCAAGGAGCGTTCATCACTTTGGTGGCACGAGACGAGGTCAGTACAAACAGCGCTCGACCAATCACTGCTTTGCATCCGGCCCAGTCACAACCTGTTTGTTGTTAAAGTCAACTCCTTTGAGGTTTTAAACGCTTTGAAACTCTGAGGGTGAATTTGTTCCATGTCAGGTGGATAATTACCCTGCAATCGTGTGCAAAATGAGAACTTTTAACATGTTTTCAGGGTGGCTTTGAAGGCGACCCGTGATGACATTCATAATGACATTTAGCAAAGATTTTGTAATAGTTTAAAAATGCGTTTTTTTCCCCCTTTAGGATAAACTGCTCCAAGCAAAGAAAGAGGTGGAGAAATTTGCCATCAATGACAAGCAGGTATGGGTTCTACTTTCAGAAAAAAGGCACCTGTTATGATCCTGCATGTGTTCATAATGTGCATAAGAGCTGATGAAGTGTTGCATTAGTAAGATCTCCTTTTTTTATTTACTATTTAGGTGGTGCTCTGCATATCAGTGGATGTTTCCAGTGATTATAGTCAGGTGGAAAATGTGATAAAACAGGTAATGTTACCCTCTCTGCCCCAGTGGAACATCTCGGATTCCTTTAATAATTTATTGGTGCAAGTATTGAAGTGGCCTTTTCCTGTCGTGCAGGCTCAAGAGAAGCTGGGGCCTGTTGATATGCTCGTGAACTGTGCTGGAACGTCCATTTCTGGAAAGTTTGAGGAAGTGGAGGTGGATCGTTTCAAAGTAAGTGACTGTTGCATTGTTCTGTGTCTGTCAGTCAGCTGCAACAACAAAAAAATAACAACACAAAAAACAGTTTGTGTTATAAATGTTGTATAAAAATATTCACACCAAAGTGAAAATGTGTGAATTTAAATCAGATAGTTGTATGGATTTATTATAGACGAGTTCATTGAGTTTGCGTTGCTGAGGTCATTGGTTTCCAGGTTATAATGAAACATGAGATTTGGCACAGTCCTGGTAATTGTACTTTATTTATAGACTTAAAATATTGCCTGCAAAGGAGACATTCCAATAACCTTGAAACAGACCAGTATGATAAATCTGTGCCAAGGACAAGGATGAGGGCTTTTGAAATATGTTTTATGCGTTAAATACTTTCCAGGAAATAAAGTTTGATAGCTTTTTGATTTTGCAGGACTTTTTGTTCCCAGATAAATAAACAGTTACATGAACAAAGCTCTTCACTGTGAGCTGCCCCAATATAACATACGTGTCCTCTGGGTTTGTGCTCAACAGAAACTGATGGAAGTGAACTACCTGGGCAGCGTTTACCCAACACGAGCCGTCATCACCACCATGAAGGAGCGGAGAATGGGCCGCATCATGTTCGTGTCCTCCCAGGCGGGACAGATCGGTCTGTTCGGATACACTGCCTACTCCCCGTCCAAGTTTGCGCTGCGCGGCTTAGCGGAGTCGCTGCAGATGGAGGTTCGCTTTCCCTTCTCACGTCGAAATAAGCTTTTGCAAAGATTTCCTCAGCGGCTCTCGTTGTCTTCCAAATACGCTTAGCTGGAATAACTTAGCACATATTTTCACACCACCTTTGCTGGATGACGAGGAGGTGTATGTTAGTGGTGTGAATACTGCAGTGAGGACTCCTGATCTACCAATAGGGGGCATTCATGCTAAAGTTTTACTGCTTATCATCAAAGACTTGTTGTTGTTCATCATCATCAATGTGGAACTGTGTTGTTTTTGTCACAGATAAAGCCATACAATATCTATGTGACTGTGGCGTACCCTCCTGACACTGACACTCCAGGACTGGCTGAAGAGAACAAGACAAAGGTAAACGGTTTATGTCTTTCTCAGACATATGGTCCCTTTGAGTGTTTCTCGATGTTTATTTACAGTATGTCAAATTTTCTCTGAGGCATTTTTTCCTGAGTAAAGAGCTATCTTGGTGCTTACAGCCTTTTCCTATTTGTTCTCTCCTCTCTCAGCCTCTAGAGACCAAATTAATCGCTGAAACCTCTGGAGTTTGTCAACCAGACCAAGTGGCCAAAATCGTTGTTAGGGATGCAGTGGTAAGAAACTCTACTCTGGCTTCTAGGGTCCCATTTTTAAAATGTGTTTTTTTTTAATTTGCTAGCCTGTTTTCTTGCAATCTTGCAGCAGGGGAACTTCAACAGCTCCGTCGGTCCTGATGGTTACATGCTCTCAGCCCTCACCTGTGGAATGTCACCTGTCACCTCCATCACAGAAGGTCTCCAGCAGGTACAGCCATACACATAATGTTATCACACCGGGAGAGGCAGTACGACTCTAGGCTGTCTTCTATCATTCATTTCTAAAAAAATTCTGTCCAGATCGTCACCATGGGATTATTTCGGACCATTGCCCTCTTCTACCTGGGGAGCTTCGACAGCATCGTACGCCGCTGCATGATTCAAAGAGAGCAGTCGAAAGCAGCTGACAAGAGGGAGTAACGGGAGCCTTACCTTCTTCACAACCCAACGCCCCCACTTTCTCCACAGCTCCCACCATCCAGTCCCTTCCTCCAGCTGTACAAGTGCACAACCGTAGGTGGGGGGAAAAAAACAGGCCAAGTCAAGTGCATTTCTGATATAAAAAAAAAAAACAACAACAGATGGGATGAAAGAAAGTAGCAGATGTTTACTTGTTGCTTTTCCAGTGACATAACCACTCCATAGACTCCATAGCCATGTTTGATTTCTCACTCCTCTCAGAGCATTCCAGTGACTTTGGTTTAATGTGTCCACCTGCTTCTTTTTGTGGGAGCAGCCTTACTTTAGGGGAATGAGGGCAGACTAAACATCCCGCAGCCTGGTTTTAAAGTAGGTAGGCCTCGTGAACCTGTGACATTACAGCTGTCGGGCCCTCCCCGCCTTGATTTGCACAGTAACGTTTTACTTCTCGCAGAGAGGAAAAGCAACAGATAGCTTGTCTGACTGGTTGTGCCAAATACGGCTTGAAATTCCCTCCCACCAGGGGCTGTAGTGGAAAAAACAGAATGGTAACTGTCACCTTTTTTGTCATGTTGTTGCATGTACCACAAAACGATCTCCACCTGAAAGAATTTTACAGTTTTCACTAAATAAGCCCACTGTTCTCCACCTTCTTTCGCACCACAAGTCTTTGCAGGCAAAGCACCTTCCCTTTTTCGACTGAATAACCTCTGTGTTTGAAACCGGTCGTGACCCTCAGCGTTTTTGTTTACGCTGTGGGATGTTTTGTTTTTGTGCTCCGTGTTTGAACCAAGCCGAGATACAACAGCACTATTCAGTGACATTGGAGAGTGAGAGAGAGAGCATGTTTTTTATTTTTATTATTTTACTAATGCAAAAACATAATTTCCACAAAATAATAACATTCAAAATTTGTACATGCAGTGTTGGGGAGAAGAGTTGTGGATGAGCTGTGTGCATGAATGCGTGTGTTTGTGTTTGCTGTGACTGAGCCGACCCCCGGGGAGAGAAAAGCCATTAGATTTTATTGTCTCGGGAATTAAAGACACCAAATTATTTTCTCATCATTCCAGCTAGGTTAATTGAGAAAGGGGACAGCAGGTACTATGGGTTTGAAGCCATGAAGTCAAAAGATGGAGAGAGAGAGAGAGGAAAAGAAAAGAAAAAACAGCACATGTGATTTCACGTTTCACCTGTGCATTTAAACCAATATACTTTTATAACACTTTAAATTTGTGAAAGGAAGCGTATCATTTTTACATGCAGTTCTATGTGTCGGTGCACATATTCAGCCACCCCCCAGGCAAGATCCGAGCAGGATCCATACTCTGTTGGGCTGGCGCAAGTCAGGAAAGTGCAGGACTCGCTGGTTCGAGTCATGTCTCTGTAGGTGTAGTGAGGGCGCTGGAGATTTGTCTTACACAAAGGCCAAAATAGTAGAAGGACGAGCGTGGAAGTGGGATCCCTGTCCTTCTTATTTTGACCTGCTGTTACCCCTGTCATGCACAGCTGGGACTTTCTAGCTCTGACAATGACAATATCGATTCCCTCCTGAGTTCTGTCGAGCCCTGAAAAATCTTTTATTCACCTTTATGACTTTCTTAATGTTTTTGCATACAGAGGGAGAGAGAAAAAAAAAAGTACAGCTTGGACTCTTGTAAGTCTTCCTTTGGTCCATCACAATCGGGGAGAATGTACTTTAATACAAAGCATACAAATCAGAACATAGGATTATTATTTTTAAATACACCAATATTTGAATGCCAAAATGTGTTAAGACAATTTCTGTAGATGCAATGCATTTATTTGCGATTTATGTTTTTGTTTTTCAATGTTGCCGCTCTGGTTGATCTTAGTTTGTAAAACCTGTGGAGCAGCTGTGGGGAGCCATTCTAAGCCTTAAGACGTGACTACTGACGAAGCGACCGCTATGAGAATGGGCTCGTCCACAGAACAATGTGACTTAACCCGCGTGTGATTTACCACATCAGTTAATACGACTTTTTGGTGTTTTAAAAAAGAAAACAAAACAAAAAAAATACCAGCTGTTTTGTGTATTTGGTCGATTTCTAGTCTTTGTATGACAAAAGAAGCCTTACTGAAAAATCCAAGATATGAAAGTGAGAATGGATGACTCATGTTGTGATGATGTTCTCATTTGATATTGGTTTAAAGGCATCCTGTCCTGCACTTCAAGAGCTTTTCATAATTGTACATTTCTTGCTTTCAAAAGTTCTCTTTTACCTTGAGGTAGCAACACATAGCTGATAGAACATGTAGCTCATATTTGGGAAAAACAAAAGAAAAGCAGTTTTGTTTTAATTAACACCTTTAAGCTATGCAAATGAAGCCTATGCTTACAATATGTTTAAACATAAAGATTTGAGTTGTGTAACAGTCACACTAGCTTCCCCTGTTTAATGGTGTCATCAGCAGCAGATACTTAATGAGTTTAAAAGTACTGAACATGAAAGTCATACTGCACTCTTTTGTTTTCATTCTTCTTTTTTTTGCTTTTTTTACTTTTATCTGCCAAAAAACTTAACACCTTCACCTTGTGTGCCATTGAAAGAAAATGTGAGAAGTGGAACGTTTCTTTGTCTTATTTTCTTACATGATAAACTAAATAAATACCTGTGAGGAAAAACAAAACAAAACTAAATCAGCTTTCATTTGTGGATGTTTGTGGCTTCGGATGTCCTCTCTTCTTTTTGGCCTTGCTGCAGCTGATTTTTTTTTTTCTCCTGCTGTTACACACCTGAACACCTCAACATGCAGAAAATCTCAATTTAGTGTGGATGAGTTCAGAAGTTGAATGTTGCAGGGTTTGGGGGGGTGTTAAAGCATTCTGTTTGAGGAGATGATATTTTAATCTTCCATGAGGGAACTTTCGGTGGCTGGATATTTCTTCAGATTTGCAAGAGTTTGATGTTTTATTTGTCCTGAAAAATAACTGCATGTGGGATAGAAGGAGTTAGAGCGGGAATCAAAGAATAATTGTATACAGGTGGATCCCTTTTTTTTCTTCGTTTTTTTTTTTTTACTGGAAGGTTGGAGCTCCATCCACAAGGGGGTGGCTGGACCACATCAAAGCAGCCTCTCAGCAGGACGGGGTGCTCCTGTGCGCCTCATGAATAATCCTTACAAACCTTTTTTTTTTTTTTCTTTGCGCATGCCTAGGAAATCCACCAGATATATTTCTGCGTATATTTTCCTGGGTGAAGCTGTCGTAAGTCGTAAAAAAAACACACATTAAGCGTGCAATCGGGAGAATGTGGACTAATAATTGGGTTTTAGCGCAGTTCTTCATGTGCGCTGCGCAGCCAAAGGAATTACTTTCCGTGGCTGACGTCAGGAATACCTCACCAGCGGAGCGCGGCCCACTGGCGGTGGGCAGGAGGATATGAGGAGCAATCGTGGAAGAGGACTCAGTCCGACCTTGTCTGGCTCGCAGTCCCGCGCCAGGTCGTGCGTAACGCTGCTAAAATAGTCAGCCGCGACCAAAGCCCCTTTACGCGCGTACAACTTTGGCTTTCATTCAGATTTTTTTTTTTTTTTTTTTTTTTTTTTCAAAATTCGCAACACATCCACGTCTGGGTGGTGTGCACAGGAATAGAGCAACACTACACTCCAACCTCTTCCGCATATTGGATTTCTATGCAAAGAGAAGGTCGCCAACGTCCCTCAAAAGGATTCGGGAAATGAAGACTGCTGCTCGCACGGATTCAGTATTTTTTTGACTTACAAACGCTTCTTTTCTGCGCAGCTCGGTTCAAGGGGTTTCCCCTGAAATCTACCAAGTATCCGCTCCCTGTGTGGGATCATTCGCTGCATCGCTCACATTTGAATATAACCTAGTTTTGGACAAGCCTGTGCAGAGCTTTGTACAGTGCACACATTCGACCAGAATGCATTTTATTTAGGAGAACCTCTGAACAATCAAAGTGCCAACATAAGCCGGAATGGCGAACGAGTGTAATCGCAATATTGTGGAAAAGTATATCTGCCATAAACTCTCCAAACGGGGCTACGCGTGGGGCTTTGATGATGTCCGGGATGAAGATGCTGCTAATAACGGGTCAGTAGTTGACCCTCCGCCGACTTTGGTGCGCCGGTGCCATGAAGCCAGCACCGGGCCCGACAACGAGAGCGACCCCCACCTCTGCAGACGGCTCCCCCAGTCCGACCCGCACGCTGCCATCCACAGAGTCCTGCGGGAGGCTGGAGACGAACTTGAAAGACTGTACCAGCCGGACTTCACGGAGATGTCCAGGCAGCTGTATCTCACCTCCACCACGGCGCAGAGGAGATTCGCCGAGGTGATAGACGAACTGTTCCGGGACGGGGTGAACTGGGGCCGGATTATCGCTTTCTTCGAGTTCGGGGGAACCGTGTGCGTCGAGTGCGCGGCCAAAGAGGAGATGACGTCGCAGGTGGACAACATCGCGGAGTGGATGACGGAGTATTTAAATGGACCTCTTAACAGCTGGATACAGGATAACGGGGGATGGGTAGGTATGATTCCGTGTAGTTGAGCGCTTTTGCAGTTGTGTGCCACGGGGGCGCAGAAGTCCTCTCTAGCTCTGGCTGAAGGGATTTCTAAGCAGGCTGGTGATTTCAGATGATGTATACGTGTTGAGTTGAGATCTAAAGGTGCGTTCTGATGCGGCTTAATGTGGCTCGATATCGAAACCACACGTGTAGTTGATCATTAATAAAACCACTCTTAAGATGTGCCCGTGACGCACAGCGGCGCAAACGCTCGAGATGGACGGCCTTACTTATGAGCTGCGCTGATTGGATGATGGTGTTGGCTGTTAAACTTATCTGACCAATCAGAGGGCGATTTGTGTCACACCTCCCTACGCTCTGACATAAAACCAAGTGTGCAGCCACACAGCTGCCATGGAGCACGGAGGGAACAGGAGTGTAGTCTGGGGGAGAGAAAAAGCTCATTGAAACCCGGGATTTGATGCATCCTACTAGAAAAGTGTAGAATGTCTATTTCAGGCTCCATCTGTATGTGAAGCTTAATGCAGGAGGGTGCATTAGAGCTGCTGTCATTTGATGCATCAGATTAGGATTCTAGCAGGAGGAGGAGGAGGAAGCCAGACACATGTCAGCAAACAGCAAACTATTGAATTAATGTGTCCAGGCCTCTGGGCATAACCGGACAGGCCTCAGCTCTCTGAGGCTTGTTCCACACATCTAAGTGACACATAAGCTTCGGGTACAAATGAGGACAGGCATCCATGCGCCACCTTTACCTGCTCATGCACACGCTCACATTTTTGCAGCAATACTTTTCACAAACTCTTGTTTCCAGCCCTGACACCCCTATCTGCAATGGATTAGCCTGTAATTAGCGCACGTGCACCTAATGAGAGAATAACATTTGTGCTGCTTGGTTATCGTAGCTGGAAGGTAATCTTAAATGGGGTGCGTGTGTGTTTGTAGGAGGCTGAGGGGGGCATCAATGATTCATATCGAATGTTTCATCTCAAAGGATTGCACCGTTTAACATTCCCCTTGAGTCTGCCTTGCCCCTGGAGGTGGCAGGTTGTGCCACATATCAAAGGCGGGCAACAGAGGGAGGGCCCTCCAGGAACACCAAGTGCTAATCTGCAGCCACTGTGTTTAACATGCAGTCCTCTGTGCACCGAGGTTGGACCGCTTTTGTCTGCTTTTTCAGACCTTCGCCTCGAAGCCGGCGCAGATTGGGCCGCAGAGATGCCTGCTCGAGGTCTCTGGAGTCTGTGCCCACTGTGCAATAATGTAGGTCATCATAGTCTGTGTTTTACAGCTGGGTGGATATGACTGTCTCTGCATCCGCTGGAGAGACACACACAGTGCAGCCCCTTAATCCAAAGGATTATTTAGGATTATTTCAAAGCATATGCCTGCAGTTTGGGTCAATTTGGTGGATTTCCACTCTGGGGAATCAAAAATCCTATTCAAATTATTTTTAGCTCAGATAGGCTCTAGAACTATTTAATATTGTATCACTGGCTCATATCTTTTATCTTCGGCATAGATACATAGATAGACGCTGATGATGATTAATATTCATTTGAATGTCTGTCAGATAGGGAATTTCCTGAAGTGTGGGCTGCAGTTATTACATGACCTTTAATAACTGATACAGAGCATTGTCTGCGCTCGAGATTGGGTTGGTGATATTTGGCTTCTCCATTTTTATTGACACGTTGGCTGGATTTTGAAATGTGATATAAGTCTCTGTATTTTTCGGCATGTAGCGATAAGGTTATTTTCTCATGTTGTCCACAGCTGAAGCCGAACCAAAGACGTGTTTTATACCAAAGAGTTTGAGTTTGAGTTTCTTGTATGGCAACTAAACGTCGGCTGGTTTTGATCTTAATCTGAATTATGAATTCACAGGCAACGCTGCAGATATTGTTAACCAGACATTTCCCACGAGGGATTTAAGGACCACAGCCAGAATTGTAGAGATGCTAAATCATCAAATTCTGTCCACAAGCTCAATAGTCTTTATTCAATTATTGGGATGTTATAGTTTCACTCTTAAATAACTCGGCCGTGCAGTTTTATCTTTTCTAAATTGCATTAAAGCCGAAACGGTTTTATTAATTTATGTTGTTACCTTTCGAAAAGGCAAAATGAGAAAGTGAGTTTAGAAATCAGCCAATTAAACACCCATCATGTCCAAGTTAAAGAAAACACAAAACAAACGAGGACGTGACCTCAGCGTCCTCAGTCGTAGCTGCAGCCCGGTGAGGACCGAACAATGACCGCCACTGTTTGGAAATAATCCCACATCCAATTTTTTTTGTGTGTTTGTGCAAGCTTTGAGTGCATTGTGATGAAGCAAGTGTGCTACATTTCTGTATCTAATCTCATATTAGGCTTTGCTGAAAGAGTCCATCTATTTTGGGGTCACCCATTTTTTTTAGGTACATATAGGTCAGTTTGTCCACCATCTGCCAGGAGTTGGTCACACTGGAATCAGGATCTTCTGATGAGCTCAGTGTCTCCTGATTGAAGGTACAAACAAGAAAGAGAAACATTATTTTTTCTTAATGAAGTTTATGCAGCTTCTAAACAGTGAAGACACTCAGTAAACTTAGTCAAAAGTGTGTTTAGACAGGTTGTGTTTGTGCTCCGTCGCACACATTGTGTTGTTCTGTAGAAGAGGTGAGTCTTGTGTTTTCCATCGCTCTGAAAACAAAGGTGGGGGCTAATCAACCTATCACTGACTTTTTGACATGTGAGAGTGGTGTGGAAACAGCTTTCTATCAGCCACCCTCTGTTTCCTGTTGTTTTTGAGACATTTTGAGCCCAAAATAGGAGTGCCCACTAATCGTTGTTGAGTCTAGGCGTCATGGGTGACTCAAATATACTTTTAGTTAAACAAAACCTGTTTTTCAGGAGTGACAAAGTAGTCGCTTTATTTGCACAACCCATCTGGGGGTGAAATGGCTTCAATTCTGCGCTGATTACTTCCCGCGCCCCAGGATGTGAAACACCGTCCTTTCATTGTCCTGAATGTTCAGTTAAAAATTCAGCCTTAGTGTTGACAGAAATTGCACTCATCAGGGGGACGATTGCATTCAGGCTGCGGCCTCACCCACACGTGGCGCACCTGTGTTTATTTACAGGCGCTCGCAGTAAATACCAAGTGATTGAACAAAGTGGCAGACGGCGTCCGAGTTCTGAAATTACATGCTTGACCTCAGACATCTGACTGGGTGAATGGGCGGCGCTGAGCGAAATGCCAAAATGTGCTTCAAGAGAAAAACAGCAGTTTCACAACTGAAGGTTAACTGAGAGCAGCTTAAGATGGGATGTTGAGAAATGAATTGCTCCGTCATCTTTACTCTTTTTTTTTTTTTTGCCACGCTCAAAAGACGGCATTGTCTGTGGGTCTGTCTCAACAGTTATAGGATGGATTATAAGAACAGTTAGTTCAGACTTTATTCGCAGAAGATATTTTGGTAGTTCCCTCTCGGGGGCATCAGCAGGCCAAAGTTATCACTTATCCTATGAAATCAGCATCTGCCTGATTGGTTGGCACTAAATTATTCAGAGAGATTCATGTTTTCCAGCTCATGAATCATAAAGATTACGGTAAAACTGTGGCATCTCGTGTTGCATCACCAGTTCTAATAATTGGGAGGATCCACTGATTGTTCATCTAGCGCCATCATCAGGTCAGACTGTCTACAATAACGTCTGACCTACTGGATGTGGACTGCGGGTTTAAGCCTGAAACTGGCCACACATTTCACTTTCGTCTCCTCTTCCGCGAACTACTTCTTACTTTCAAAATCACTCTTACTACAGGAAACAACTTCCAGCTAGCAACCTGAAACCTTCAAGTTTTGAGGAATCGGACCATGCAGTAATGCAGCCCAGCTATTTTTTTTTTCCAGTGAATTATCGATTTTAGTGGCAGTGCTTGCCTGTCTGCGTGCAAATGTTCCACTAAAACAATCCCTCCGTCACTATTTTGACGGAACAATGTCGCTGCATCTTTGGCTTGGCTCCACCCAAGATGATTGTGGCTGATTTAAAGACATACAAAGGAGCAGGAATGCTGTTCACTCTGTGCTGCAGAATGGTCTGGTTCTGCAAGATCAATAAAAGATGGACGTAGGTCTGCGTCTGAAAAGTGCAGCCAACGAGGACGTGCCCTTAAACTTGCATTTTCTCTAATGGCCAGCAGGGGGTGACTCCTCTGTTTGCAAATTGTGCAGAAGTCAATGAGAATATGGCCATACTTCTCGCTTGAATTACTACCACTGTAAATCTTTTTCTAATGAGTTTATGGTCTCAATCACTAGTTCTAAGCCTTTTTGAACACAGCATGATTATTATTTTGTAAATCGTGGTCCCATTTAGAGTAAAATAGAGGTTAAAGCAGGGTATGTTTAGGGTGGATCTGCCTTGTGATTGACAGGTTGCCACCATATCGCTGTGGTGCAGTGTCCTCAGGTTGTCTGGTTAGATCCACACATTGCTTGTTTCTTCTGCATCAAAAGGCCAAGATGGTGGTTGCTAAATTTCCAACTCGAGGCTTCACAGCGAGAGTTGACGAACCAACGGGTGATGCTACGTCCATCTTTTATGTAGAATGTGGGTCAAAGTAGTCTGAACCGCTGAACCAACAACAGTTCCATCTACTTCAGCATGCAAGTTCCACATCAGCATTTACTTCTGTGCAGCCACATACAGCTGCTAGTGTGGCTGTAGACTCTTGCTTTTCGTTTAGCAGGTGAGAGGAAGGAGTTAAATCAGCCAAAATCCTTTTTTTGAAGTCTCAAAGAGCAAGATCAGGTGTCTGTGGAATGCTTCTGCTCGCCAGGTGGCCTGTTTCTCTGTTTTCACTGTGTGTTGTGTGTGTGTGTCAGGAGAGGACAATGTAAGTCTGGGTTGGGTCCATCCTGTGGGGGATTCCCTGAGCACAATCCGCTCATCGATGGGTGGGGACCTGCATGTTGCTATGGTATAGCGGGCATCTGGCTGAGCCCCT